CCATAATTTGTTGTTTTCTGGATAAAATTTTGAAAAACCAATGACTACTTCATGGCATGGCAAATACCATTTTTAAACAACATGAAAGAGAAATGTAGCTTTTTATGAAGATGGCACCTAAAGCAAAGAAGGAAGCCCCTGACCCTCCCAAAGCTGAAGCCAAAGCAAAGACAATGAAGACCAAGAAGGCAGTGCTGAAAGGTGTCCCCAGCTGGAAAAAAGAAAAAGAAGATCCATATGTCAACCACCTTCTGGCAGCCCAAGACTCTGAGGCTCCGGAGGTAGCGTAAACATCCTAGAAAGAGTACCCTCAGGAGAAACAAGCTTGACACCATGCCTCATCAAGCTTTCTCTGAGTAATGAGTCAGCCATGAAGAAGATTGAAGATAATGACACACTTGTGTTCATTGTGGATGTTAAGGGTAACAAGCATCAGATCTAACAGGATGTGAAGAAGCTCTATGACACTGACATAGCCAAGGTCAGCACCTTGATCAGGACTGATGGAGATATGAATGCATATGTTCCATTGGCTCCTGACTATTATGATTTGGATGTTGCCAACCAAATTGTGACCATCTAAACTGAGCCCAGTTGTCTAATTCTAAATGTTTTCAATACAAAAGAAAAAAGACAAATATATGCATGGAACTCACCAGATGGATTACATAGAAATTCAAATTGACTACATGTATGGAAAGAAACAGTGGAAAATCTCAATATGATCAGCAAAATAAGGCCATGGAAGTTTATGGAACAGATCATCAGTTTCTCATGTGCAAGTTCAGACTGAAGAGCAGAAAAAAATTAAAACTAGTCCACAACAGTCAAAATGGAAGCAGTGAGGAAGTACAAGAGCTGAATAGAAAATTTCAAAGGTCAACTTGAGAACACAAAATAAAATATTATAACAAAATGTTCAAAGACCTAGAGTTAGAAAACGAAAAAGGGATAGCATGTTCAGCATTTCTCAAGATGAGGAAACTGAAGAAATACTTAAGCCTTGACTTTCAAATCTGATGGATTCTCTGGGCAAATTATTGAATGATGCAGAAAGCATCAAAGAAGATGGAAAGAATACACAGAGTTACTGTACCAAAAAGAATCGATCCATGTAAAACCATTTCAAGAGAAGCATATGTTCAAGAGCTAATGGTATTGAAGGAAATAGTCCAAGAAGGAACTAAAAATGTGACTGGGGAAGAGCTGCCTCCTTAAAGTAGAGTTGACCTCACGTGATGACATGAATGGACTAAAGCCCAGGGGCCCTTCATTTGCTGATGGGGCAGAACTCAAAATGAGGGGAGACAGCTGTAAACATCCATTAATAATCAGAATATGGAATGTATGAAGTATGAATTTAGGAAAATTGGAAATTGTCAAAAATTAAATGGAATGCATAAACATTGATATTCTAGGCATTAGTG